AATCTTGTAGTTCTCCTATACTAGTAGCTATATTAAAAACTAGCCCTCGCTGGTATGGTTCAGTGGTTAGAGTGTCAGTCCTCGTCCTGGAGGGTCTTGGGTTTGATTCCCAGTAAAGGGCATGTACCTGGGCTGCAGGTTTGATTCAGGTCTGGGGACATGTGGGAGGCAACCAATCCACGTGTCTCTCTCACATCGATGTTTTTTTTCTCTCTCTCTCCCCCTCCCTCCCTCCCTCCCTCCCTCCCTTTCTCTAAAGAAATCAATGGAAAAAATATCCTCGGTGAGGATTAACAAGCAAAACTATTTAAAATTAGTTGAAATCCAGGCAATACATTATGTCAGTTTTTTCACTGTAATTGCATAATTTTGGATGTGACCAAAATGTACTCATGACGTGACTATTGCTGGATTCAGGAGAATAGGGACTGTGACTGAGCTTTAAGGGGACAGTGGGTAAGCACTCATCCTGTAGCCTATTTTTCTTCCCTTTCCTGTTCTTGTGGCACCTGAATAATTGGTATTTAGTGACTTGGAGAGAGTATGATAGTAAAAGAAAAATGCCCCTTGGTTCTTCTGGAATTGCCACTTTTAGGAGAATGTATTCTGCTCAGCACTCAAAGGTCAGTTTAGAAGGCAACGGAACTGGTGGGAGGATTTATTTATAACCTTATTTATAAGGTTGATATTATTGTTATTGTCATTAATTTAATGTTGGACCCATTTCAACCAAAACCTCTTAAAGTTCAGATCCTGCTCTTTAATCCTCGAATGAACTTAATCCAGAACTGTTTAACTAAAGTAATCAAAGTTAATCTGAAAGAGCTGATGGACATTAAGAAAAATTAAAGCTGCTATGTATTCTAAAGAAGTCCATGAGTTCCTTTTGCACAAAGGGATGCAGTCCTTTAAAATGGAAGTCCCTGTGAACAAATAATCTAGCATTTTCCTGTTTGAATCATCTGAGCTGGGATTCTTCTCCTCCTCTTCTCTTCCTCCTCCTCCTCCTCTCCCCCCTCCTCCTTCTCCCCCTCCCTGTCCTCCTTTTCCCCTTCCTCCTCCTCCTTTTCCTCCTCCTCCTCCCCTCCTCCCCCACCTCCCCCTCCCCCCTCCTCCTCCTCCTTAGTAAATGTTCATTTAAATGTTTGTTGTTTTTGCATTAACAGGGTAATATTGGGGCCAAAATGGAAATGAGGGAACAGGAGCTGGTATAACCAGTTCTGAGTTCTATAATGGGCAGGTGTGTACTTGATGAAGGAAGTAAATTATTTGGAAACCTTTAGATTTTAAAAAGCAAAATAGGCCTCTATTCTCTACTTTTCATGTATTCTATATTATATCATTAGAAAATTACTTAGCTGTAAATATATAATTTCAACCAAGAAAAACAGTGTTGTTTTTAAAAGTATTGTGTCTCAATTTTGCTTTATCATTTTTATTTTAAACTAAGAATCAGAGGTAATGAAGGAGAATCACTGTGAGACATTTTATATTTTAGCCAGAGTGTCTAGGATCATTTTTGCCCATTAACTTAATTCAGGACTACTACACCCAAAATAATAAAGCCTAAAGATATAAATGATCTTCTTAGGGAATTGTGGGAACTAGATTACTTTTCTTATCATTTACAACTGTCCTCATTTTGGAACTAGTCTACCCAATGCATGCCACAAGTATACATCACAAATACACCGCAGAGTCTGTACAGTGAGGAGGGAAATTTCTAATATCTAATTGCTAGGGTCTTTTTGTAAGAAAAGACAGCCTGTGCTTGGTTTGTCAAATTAATATGGAATAATATGTATTGTTGCAGCATTTTGTGAGCTTCAAGGATGTCCTCAGTGGACCCGGATTTAAAAGTTGTGTTTTGCGGTATGTTTATGTGTGAGTGCATACATATGTAGGCTGTGCTATTTCATTAAAATTTATCATGGGGCCCCGCCTGTGTGGTCAGTGGTTGAGCATCAACCTATGAACCAGAAGATCATGGTTTGATTCCTGGTCAGGGCACATGCCCTGGTTGTGGGCTCGATTCCCCCAGTACGGGACGTGCAGGAGGCAACTGATCAATGATTCTCTCTCATCATTGAGGTTTCTATCTCTCTCTCTCTCCCCCTCTCCCTTCCTCTCTGAAATCAATGAAGAAAAAAAAAATAAAAAATATATTATATATATTTAAAAATGATCATGGTTACAAAGGTGAAGGTATTAAGAAGTACAAATTGGCAGACACAAAATAGTCATAGGGATGTAAAGTACAGCAAGGGGAATATAGTCAATAATATTATAATAACTATATATGGTGTCAGGTGGGTTCTAGACTTACTGGGGACCACTTCATAAGTTATATAAATGTCCACCCACTGTGCTATACATCTAAAACAAATATAATATTTAATTCGTCAATTGTAATCAAACAACAAATAAAGCATCCTATATAATAAAAGCTCAGCAACCGAATGGTGGAATGACCAGAACGACCAGTCGACCAGTCACTATGACATGCACTGACCACCGGGGGCAGATGCTCAAAGCAGGAGCTGCCCCCTGGTGGTCAGTGCACTCCCACAGTGGGAGTGCCACTCAGCTGACCAGGATGAGCAGCGCTCCCACAGCTATGCTCCCGATCCCCACAGGCCACGCCCCCCACTAGTGCATGAATCCCGTGCACTGGGCCTCTAGTAAAAAAATGGTCAGCTTATTAGGTGCTATTAAAACATTTTACATTGTTATTTGTGCCAAGAACAGCATGTAGCATATTACTAATCAAATGCAAATTTCAGTAGAGACCAGAGTCCTGGTGCTGAAAGGGAGCTTGGAAAATATCTAGTATTTTGATCTTTTAGCTCTGCTCCAATGACCAAATCTATAATAATAAAAGTGTAATATGCTAATTAGACCTGATGTCCTTCCGGATGACCTGCTGGATGAAGACTCAGTGGCGGGGGCCGAGGCAGAGGCGGCCACCGAGGTGGCAGGGGCTGAGCTGCTTGCGCGAATTTCGTGCATCGGGCCTCTAGTAGTCTATATAAGAATGTTAAGCCTTCCTTCAGAGAGGCAGAGCTTTGGATATGAATCACATCTCCTTTACTTGCTGCAAGTGAATAAAGCTACCTTGGGACACCATGCCTTGTTTTTGAATGAGAGCACTGCAAACTGCGAAACCTTTGAGTTCTGTAAGAAGGTGACCACAAAAACAAAATCAGAATTGTCACGAGGATTCTTTGGAATCTGAGTTGGCATCCACTGTTGTTAAGTATGAACTTTGGCTTCCGTTTTGTTATGCCTCGAGATATTAACTAATCCTACAAAGCCAATATTTAAAACTGTGTTTTGTTTTATTTCATTTTTTCAACAGTTCTATTTTGTTTATTTTGTAATATATTAGTACTGAAATACATGTATACAATTTTGAAATGTTCATATCCTGGGGTGCAGAGTCAAAACATTTTAATGGTTTATATGATGAAAAAATTGGAGGTAACTAGTTTAGAGAAAGATGTTGAAGAACCAAGGCAAAGAGGGGTTGGTCTTTTGAGTGAGGCAGGATAGTAAGAAGCCAGGAAAATTCCTTTGCAAGTGGAATGGGAAAACAGAGCTGAACAAACTAAACTGGCTGAGCATTTTACAGCCAGGTATAGAAGGTCCCTGGAGATAACATCTAGGCTCCAGTTGTATTTCAGCTCCAGGCCCAGAAAAGCCGCAAAACCAGGTGGGCTACAATGACTAATAACCCTCTGGAGCTGGCCAATCAGTGGAGACCACTACCCTGAAAGGACTCACCTGGAAAATCTGATTTGGGAGCATGCCCATGCCTTTTCCTACCTTCCCTTTTTCCTAAACTCTAAGCATCCCCATGAGACTTGAAACTGAGTCCATAATTCATCCTCCGCTAACCCCCTGACCCTGTCTCCGAAGCCCCCTTTTCTCTGACTTCCCAGTGAGCCAAAGCAGCCCTGCCTAGGCTCATTTCTTTCCTATAATATTTCTTGGAAGCCACAGCAGCCTCACATAGGTTCTCTCCTCTTGCTTCTTCTGTCCTAAGACCTTGCTTTGTTTCACTGTCCCTAGCTTTAATAAACATACTCTCAAAATCATCTGGAGCATTGGCCCATGAACTAAGAGGTCACTGGTTTGATTCCCGGTCAGGGCACTTGCCTGGGTTGTGGACTCAATCCCCAGAAGCGGGTATACAAGAGGCAGCCAATGGATGTTTCTCTCTCATTGATGTTTCTATCTCTCTCTCCCTTCTCCCTTCCTCTCTCTAAAAAAGAGAAAAATTAAAAAATCATCTGGACTTGTATTGTGAAATCTTTCCTGCACAAAGTCAAGAATTCCACAGTGCTGCCAGCCCTAGTCAGGCCTGCTTCGGGCAGTCCTCTTTCCGTTAACGTGAAGACCTATTTAGATTCTACCAGGTGTTGTAATCCGTGGCTTACGTTTTAGTGTGTGCTATGTGACATAACATTAACGGTAATCCTGCCAAATAGATGTTGCCATTTTATAAATGGAGATCACAGTTACTGTACTTCGGATTCTGCATTTCAACTGAGCTCTCTTCAAAACCCACAGTCTTTCTACATATTGTTTTTCTTGAATAACAGGGCACTGGGAAACCTAAGATAAAGACTACATGTAACTCATTTTCTCCAGAATATTACTAATGAATTTTTTATGAGGCTGTATTGATAGTAACCCTCCCCGAGACATCTAATCCAGAGCTAAGGTGTGTTATTGTTTCTGTGTGTAGGGGTCCGTCACTTATGCACCGTGTTCAAAGTTCATATTGATTCTTCTAAGGTTGTGTTAGGTAGTAGAATATTCAGTTAGGAAAAACTATTTTTTCTTCTGGGAAATGATCATATTTTGAATCGGGAGAATGTGAGGAGAAAACATAACTATTCAAGCAACTAAAACCCGTGTCAATACAAATTTACTGATTGTTGTTGTCGTTTTCAGATAAAGAGTTTCATGGCTTCTTATGACTCCTATGTCTCTAGGCTTGTAAGAAAGTTTTCAAATGATTTCTTCAGTCTTAAAAGCTAACAAGATGAAGAAAAGGCCCACAAGGCGTACATGCCACAATGCTGATGAGGTTAGTAGTCATACTTCCATTTTATTCATCTGTTTCTCTGATTATTTTGACGTCTTTTTGCCAGGTGGTATGTTTGTCTGCCGTGAACTTATAGAACTCACAGAGTGGAATTTGAACGAACATATTTGCACAAAGTACTGGGAGATGCTATAAAACAAACAGAAACCTTCCTGGGGGAATTTCAAGAATGTTGTGAATTTTAAAAATAGAAGTAACTCTGCCTCTTGTTCTGGTTTCTGCTCTTTGCCTTATGATATTATCTTTCCTTTTGGCTTTTTTTTAATTTAAGATTTTTACTTTTTTTTTATTTTTAGAGATGGAGAAAGGGAGAGGGAGGGACACAGAGAGAGAAACATTGATATTAGTGACATTTGATCTGCTGCCCCCTGCACGCCTCCTACCCCCTCCTACCCGAGCTGGCAACTCTGGCCTATGCCCCAAAGGGGAATTGAACAAGCAATCCCCACCCCCACCCCACCCTGCAGAGGAGGACCCCAGCCAACTGAGCCACTTCAGCCAGGGCCTTCCTTTTGGCTTTTTAAAGGTCTTCACTGTGACCTTCTTCGTCTTGAATTTGGTTTGTTTTCTGCTGAGTATCAGGTGGTTAATGACAAATACTAGTAAACACTACATATGTGTCATAGGAAAATTGGCAGAAAAATTACTTTTCTGTTCTTGATGTGGCCGCCTTAAATGTCTTCACAGCTTATTCCATCGTTTGCCTTTTCTGGTGAGTGTCAAGTACAAAACTTTTAAGTGCTCAGTAATCACTCGCTATTATTATGTTAGTTTCTCCTGCATTTGACTCTCTCCCTTTTCTGGTTGAAGGCTATTAACTTCACTTCGTATATTCTCTCCAGGGTTTGCTACCTTTTACATCAATGCTGATGAAACCCTACCATGCACCAGCATTTGCTTTCTGTCAGTTTATTTCACCTATGAGGAAGCCACTATATACTTTTATTTAAAACAAAACTTAATTTTTATCCAAGTAGGTTTTCAAATATTGCTGAAAACAGACCAAAGACTGGAGCCAAATCGTCAGTGAAAAATGCTTGGGACTCTACTTCACTTCCTAAGGGGCACCCCCCCCCCCCCCCCCCCGGTTGTTTAAAGAAAGTAGAACCAGAATGATAATAAGAGAGAGACAGAGTACAACTACCATATGTCAGGCACAGTGCCTAGCTCTTTAGTACACATTATAGAATGTCTTATCCCCGTTTTACATTGGAGTCTTGTGGCACCTGCCTGGTGACTGAGAAAGAACGTGGTTGGCTCAGGGAAAGGCCAGGCCCCTTCTGTCTTTTGAACATAACGAGTCAACATTACTTTAGTCATGTAAATTCTGTTGCCACTAGGTGGCAAGACAGAGGCAAGAATTCTAGACAGATTTAAGGAGACCTTTGAAGCATTGGTCGCCAACCGGTGGTCCGCTGACCACTGGTGGTCCATGAAGTCCGAAAGGTTGGCAACCACTCATCTATAAGATTAGGAAGACTGGTCAGCCCATACCTGCAGGGTTTGGAGGGGTAACGAGAGGCCAGTCAGGGTGCTACAAGGAAAGAATTGGGGCCCTAGAGTTTATTTCTTTGTTACCTGTTTTAATTCTACCTCTGGTAATGAAATTTCTGGTAATGGAATTTATTGCTTAGCATGTGTCATCTTAGAGGCACGAGTCATAAAATCTTAGCCATCACAAACTTTGCAAAGCTCTGCCTTCAGGGAGACTTTATAGATGCACAATTAGAGGGCCAGAGAAATTGGCTTTTGCAAGACCTCATAGCAAGTCACTGGCTGGACTTACTCTTGAATTCCATTTCTTTGCCAATTAAGGTATTGTTTTGAGTGCGGTCTATTTATGGGACAAATTAGAATCTGGAGGATGGTCCAAATTCTACTGGCTGGTTATTCATAATCCTGAATGTAGGTCCTATTCATCCACAACCAAACACTGCTAGTCAACAATCAGCAATGACCAAACTTGCCAGTCCTGTAACTGTAAGAAAATGACCTTTATTAGGTCATCACTTAACAGGTAAAACTATAATAGCATAGCGGCTTCAGCACTGTGATACTTACAGGCTTGTGAGGATTAAAGGAGAAAGCTTGCATGTGTGGCTGGCCTATAATCTAGTACAATACCTGGAATTAATTAAATGTTTTCCCCTCTGCATCTGCCCCCTCCCTAGTAAATCTTTTCATATGTTTGTCTCTTGTCTTGCAAATGTATTGGTTTCCTAGGGATACTGATGACCAGTTGGAACCAGAGTCCTGAAGTGGGAGAGAACACTTTCTTCTCAAGAGCCCACCCTTTTAAACTGTCTTCTTTTTCTTTGTCATAGCAATGGGCTTCTAAAAAGTAGTGTTACCATGGGAACTGAATATGTAAATACTTTTTCAGTTATTTTGAGGAGAGTAGTCAGTAACTATGCTTTCAAATAGTGACTTTCAAAAATTTTAACTACAACCCAGTACAGTACGGCGGGTACACATGCATGCGTGTGTGTGTGTGTGTGTTTGTGTCTGAAATAGATCTTCTCCCGTGTGCTTATACACGTGGCTATTTACTATTGGACCCACTAAATGGATAGGATCATAGTTTGAAAAAATCTTCTTCCTTAGAGAAAAAAATAAGAAAGCATTCTTTTAAGCTTTATTTTCTCTCTTAACTGAAGACTTTCTAGGTTGGCAATATCCAGGGCTGAATTTAAAATGAGAATGTTATATAGCTCTTGAGAGATGTAGCATTGGGTCCTAGGCCTTGGTGCTTCAAATAGTATTTGGGGGCACTGACATTTTTGTCAGCTCACCCCACACTTACTTGTGTCATCACGATGATTAAAGCAAGGAAGTGAGAACAGAAAGAAAATGCAACGTAAGTACTGTGACTCACAGCTGACATTTTTGCTAAAACTTTTACTCACCCTGTATGTCTTTTGTGGGTGAATTCTAACCTTATTTCTTGCAGTTCTTGGATCAGTGGGCTTGTGTTAAGTCACATCGCCTAACAAATCCACTTGAGACAACCTTAGCAATTCAGGTATGAACTGTTGAAGGAAACACCTGCTGCCCTAGCTGCTGATGGAGTAGGGCAGCAATACTGATGGGTGCCTTCTTGTTCATAATGGTGTGTGTGATCTTATTTGGGCCTCAGAGAAAAGATGAAATTGTTGTCTTTATTCGAAACACCCACTACCACCAAAAAACAAACAAGCAAACGAAACCCAAGGATTCAAGAGCCTTGCTATCCTACTATGTAGCTAGTAGATGAGAATAAAGCTTCAACACAGTTCTGCCTTACTACTAAAAACGATTTCCAAAATCCTTTGTAATATGTAATTAAAAGTGTCAGTGTCAAGAGTACCTTTGTTGTGGATTAATACTAAATAGGAATTCTTTGGGAGAGAAATTAGTTTGAAGAGTATAGCACAAGAAATGCATCATTGTTTAAAGGCAAGTAACTCTTTCATCTTGACGTTGTCCTTCAAATATTAATGAAGTCCTCAGTGAAGGAACATTGATACATGCTGGGGTCCAACCCCAGCAGGTCCAGGGGTCCCCAAAGGTGTGGACGGAGTCGGCGAAGAAGGAATGACACAGAGATAGCATTCAGTTGATCAGCAGCCTAGCCAGGATCTCTAGCCAGGATCTCCAGCCAAGTTCTGGTCTGGATCTCCAGCCACATTCTGTTCAGGATCTCCAGCGAAGTTCTGGATAGGATCTCCAGCCAGGTTCTGTGTCCATGTTCTCTTGCTAGGTTCTCCAGCCAGGTTCAGTCGCCAGGTTCTGTAGCCGGGTTCTTCAGCCAGGTTCTGTCTAGGTTCTCCAACCAAGTTCTGTAGCCAGGTTCTGTCCAGGATCTTTTGCCATGTTCTCTCCAGCGAAGTTCTTCTGTCTCTAGGTTCTGTGTAGGTTCTGTGTCTAGGTTCTGTTGAGCTGTTGTCTTGTTACATCTGTATTTATACCAGTTGATTCCAATCCTATCAATCTCTATTCCAAAGGTTAGGGCGTTTCTTATCTCCATTCTATGGAGTAAAGATTATGTAGCTTAAGCATGATTGTTCGTAGTTAAAGTGATTAATTACCCACCTGGCACTTAGTTAAGGGGTTTTATTCCCTCCCTAACTTCAGGGGAAAATCCCTACCTGGGGAAACAACCTTTCTCAGAGAGGTGACCTTGGTTAAAACACAGTGCCAAGAAGGTGAGCAAACATATTAAGAACAGTATGCCATATATGCCAGGTCCCTTGAAACAGCAAGGATGGACCGGCTCCTGGCAGATACAGTCCCCACAAATATGTTTTTCTTTTCCTCTGTGCAGCAAACCTGGAAGCCTGTGCTAAATGCCCATCGTCTTTTCTGTTTTTGTTCTGAAGAAACCTGTGAAGTAAGGGGGCAGGTGGTGTCATTGTCGGCATCACTGAGGTCAAAAGGCTGTGTGAGAGTTTAAATGAGAACTCAGGTCTTCAGCCTGCCCACTGCTATGCAGAAGCATTAACTTCGTGTGGGCAGAGTAACTGAATGTTTTAAGTCAAGGCCACATGTCACAAATGGCAAAGGGAGAGAACCACACATTGCATTTGCTTCTTGGGCTTAGAATGTAGCCACACCAAGACTGTTTTGTCAGTGTCCTATAAAGGGACCCCATAAGGGAAAAATTAAGTTAAGTTCTGCACTTACTGGGTATTTCACAAAGCCAGTAAGTAGTCAACTCAACAGGTAGAAATATTTTTTAAGTCATGACTTTTCTTTATGTCCTCCGTTTTTATTAAAGCTTTGGTAAGCACTTAATTTGCATGTGACCCAATGAAGCATGCTGTGTAAATAAACACTGGACTAGATATAGTTTCTAAATGTGTTTGGCCTCATCCAGCTGAAATTCTTGATTCTTCAGAAGATGAAAGAAAAAGGACAAGGATGAGTAGGGCATTTACATTATATAAACATCGAAAGGCTGATTAAATAAGAATGGGTAGTTTGTTGAGAGCTTCCTATGTCCCATGCAGTGTTCAAAATGTTTTACACATTTTATCTCATGTGGGATTTTTATCTCAGAATCCCAGTGAAGATAGATACCATTATTATTCCAATTTTTTACAAATGTGAAAACCAAGCCACTGATAGTTTAGCTTAATATTGAGGGTCATATTTTGATAAGTGGTGGAACAAGTATGATCTGACTTGAGATCCTATGGTATTTTTTTTTTTTTTTTTTACTGATTTCAGAGAGGAAGGGAGAAAGAGGTAGAGGGAGAGGGGGAGAGAGAGAGAGAGAGAAAGAAACATCAATGGTGAGAGAAAATCATTGATCACCTGCCTCCTGCATGCCCCACACTGGGGACCAAGCCTGCAACCTGGGCATGTGCCCTGACCTCTTGGTGCATGGGTTGATGCTCAGTCATGAGCTACACTGGCTGGGTCATTTCTCTTCTTTGGAATCTAATAAGTAAGGGATAGTAAGGTGTGCCTAGCCATGTCCACTCCTGGCATACTCATGCAGCCCCACACAATGTGGTTTGCTGGAGAGCACCATGGTAGGAAGGAAGGTTAGGCATGCCCTGGTCACAGGAGGCCATTTGTCCCTTGTCGAATGACTTTTCCTGTGTGCATGTTAAACTGTTGGTAGCCAGGCTGTGACTTCCCAAGGGGACTACCTGTATTAGGATTCTCCAGAGAACAGAACCAATAGGATTTGTGGGTGTGTGTGTCCATGTGCATGTGTGCACACATGTACACACACAAGTATTTTATGAGGAATTGGCTAATGTGTTTATGGGACTCGGCAAGCCCAGATCTGCACTGTGGGCCAGCGGGTCCCAGACCCAGGAGAGCCAGTGGTCCAGATTGAAGTCCAAAGGTAGTCTGCTTGAGAATTTTCTCTTGTTCAGGCAGGCTGGGCTTTTTGGTTTATTCTGTCTCAACTGATTGAATGAGACCTGTCCACATTAAGGAGAGCAATCTGCTTACTCAGAGTTCACCAATTTAAATCTTAATCTCATCCAGAAAGTCCCTGCAGTTGATGCATGGAACTAGCCATCACAGTCCCTCGATGGGATATGCTTATGGGGGCCATGTGTTGACCCCACCCCAACCTCAGAATTTCTCTTAAATGCCAACATTTTTTAGTTAAATGTGTTAGGTAGAATTTTTATAACCTGTCTGAATTGAATTAATGGATAAGGAAACACTTTAAAAATAGTGAAGCAGTTTACAAATGCAAGGAATTTAGGGAAGTGGTGAGTGAAGAGGGTGTGGGGTAGAGTTTAGTTGGATGGCTTGCCACCTGTCATGAGGATTATAGTTTGGCAAGAGAACAATAAACCCCCTTTTTTTTCGACTGCCATACACGGTGCAGCGGGGACCTTCTTAGAACCTTCTCTTAGATCTCCATGAAAATCCCATCGCCGTTCTGTGGGAGAATGCCTTGGTGTGGGACCTTTGGAACTCAGGTTCTGCTGTGCAGCCATTGAGTTCTCACCGACTCTCACTGCTGGTGGCCCTTTAGAAGACTCCTTGTGGTTGAATAATTGGACGGATGAAAAATATAATTTGTTTACATAGCAGCTGTCTTTTGAGCCATATTATCTCCTGTCAACTTTGGGACAATATAATAAAGTAGAGGGGGTGAGTATTGCTAATTATACTTTCAGCTAGAGCAGCTACAAGTCAGTGTAGGACAGTATTTTTGCATCTAATTGCTTAGTAAATATTTAGTTTAAAAGAAATCGTATTAGTTCTGTATTCTTTCTCTTTCTTACCTCTGATTTTCTGGCAGCTCACATTTGAGTGCTTACTATGTGAAGAATGTTGTGTTATTTTTTAGGTGAAATTAAGCAAATAGCATGTAGATCTGCTCCTTGAGGGATTTTTAATGAGATTAATTTATATCAATAGCACATTAGAAATAAAGGGCTTAACACTAAATATTATATATCACTAAATAATACATAGGGCATTTTTTAATAACTTAAATCTTTCATAGTGTTTTACAGAGTAAGCCTTTCTTCAGTTCAACTTGCAGAAATGATGGTGTTTTTATTTTCCAGTGAACTCTTACAACAAAATGTTCATTAATTAAAAATAGCTGCCTGATACAGGAAACAGCTCATATAGCAGCTTCTGACACGGTTCTAAAAACGGACTTGAGCTGCTTGCGTGCTAAACAGGAATGAACAATGAAAACTGTATGAACAAATTCAGGTAAAAGCATGCTGTGTTTTAAGAAGGATTTTTATGTGCCTTTACATTAATGTTTTCCTGATTTTAAGACTCATATGTGCTTACTATTTAAAAAATGTTATAGCAGTATATCATGTAGAAAGTGAAATTCCCACCCAAATTGTGATGTCTGTATAGCCTCATTTTTTCCCTACACATATACAAACAGTATATAATTATTTCAAAAATGGAATTATGTTTTCTTCAACTCGGTTTCTCTTTTATATAGTATTAGGAATTCTCCACATCAAATCTTTGGAATGGCTCTTCCTTTCTTTTATTATCTCCCTTAAGGCAGCATATTATTTCACTGTATAGGTGTACGACACTTTGAGCCAGTTCCCTGTTAATAGACTTGTGATTTGATACTCTTATATTAAAATTTTTTTTCTTGAAAGTTGTTTTTAGGGCAGATACACTTATAATTTAACAAATGTAACATGTTGATATATAATATGGAGAGTTTACTATGTGCCTGGAACTTTTTAAGCAGTGTTCGGTGAAAATTAGAAGAATCGTTCTACCCTCTGAGAGGCTCACTATTATCGCCCCTATTCTCGAGATGCAGGAAGCCCCAGGCTCCCCGTATGCCAGCGTGGTGTCCATAGGATGGACTGCAAGACCTGGTGCCTGGGTCAGGCAAGTGAGGGCCTTTAGATCAAAAGCAGCTAAGCAGGAGGACAGCAGCTTCATCAGCATAAGAGAAAGCAGAGTTTACAAATTTTTATTGAAGCTACTGATGTTAAAAATCTTTGCTGGTTGCCATAACAACAGGCTTTGGAAGAACTGCCATCTTAACCCTTGTAACTGTGCCTGAAGGAGTCCCTGGCTATTTCCACAGATGGCTTCTGTGTATTCCCTCCTGACGTTCAAATTCCTGTTGTGAATTTACCTGATCTATAGGGGCCTTTCCTTGGATTTGTCTGTACCCCTCGTGTCCTTGCTGAGCACCAAGAGATGCCAGTCAGCTGAGGTCGCCCAGCCTTGGCCAGTCCCCCGATACCCTGTGGAGCTGCTCATTGCTTTCTACGAAAAATGAAAACTCTTAATTTTGTTTGTTTTTGTTTTTTTAGAAAGAGGAAGGGAGAGAGAGAGAGAGACAGAGAGAGGGAGAGACATCTGTTGGTTGCCTCTTATACACGCACCAACCAGGGTCTGAACCTGAACTATAGGTATGGGACCGGAACTGAACACTCAACCCTTTGCTGTACAGGACGATGCTGAGCCACACCAGCCAAGGCAAAAACTCTTAACTTTTGTCATTATTTTTGACTCTAAGATCTGTCTCTAGCATAGACCCTAAGAGAAGTCTCCTGAGATTTAGAAAGTATTTCATTTGCTTAAATGATTGTTAAATTGGTCCTAGGTATAATGCATTAAATATTTGGCAGGAAAAAAAAATGTTTATTTCACATTATATTGCTTCATAAATAACTAATTTATCATGACTAGAGAGAATTGAAGTTCAAAATATACCAAAAGGGGCCTGTGTTCTGGCTATTTTTTGCAGTTTAATAAACCATTCCAAAGTGTAATAGCTTAAACCAGCAATTTGTAACCTCGGGATTCGGTGGGTTGACCAGGAAGTTCTGTTTCATGTGATGTTGGCTGGATGCTGGAATGGCTGTTGTCCTCTGAGGCTTGGAGAAGAGCTCAGCGGGACCCAGCAGCTGCTTGGGTTGCCTTGTGGTGTCTGGATTCCACAAGGGAAGAGGTGGATGCTGCCCAACCAATTAAGGGCTAAGCCCAGAGTTGGTGCTGCATCATTTCTGCCATATTTTAATGGTCTAAGCCAGCCGTGGGCAAACTACGGCCCGCGGGCCAGATCTGGCCCGTTTGAAATGAATAAAACTAAAAAAAAAAAAAAGACCGTACCCTTTTATGTAATGATGTTTACTTTGAATTTATATTAGTTCACACAAACACTCCATCCATGCTTTTGTTCCGGCCCTCCGGTCCAGTTTAAGAACCCATTGTGGCCCTCGAGTCAAAAAGTTTGCCCACCCCGGGTCTAAGCAGTAATAGGCCCAACCCAGAGTCAGTGTGAGAAGGGACTATGCAAAGACATGAATACTCAGAAGTGTAGTTCGTTGGAGGTGGTCACCAAAATAACGGTTGACCAGGGTGTGTGCTCTCTGGCCCCTCACACATGTAAACTGTGCTGACCTCCACACAAGACCTTCACAATCTCACCTCATTACTACATCAGCTTAGTTCAGGATTAGTCTAAATCAGGTCAAAGAGCTGCTGAGGCTCTTTCGGTACAGCTAATCTCAACTGAACACCTGGGAACTAAAGCGACAAACTGGGAACTAAAGGGACAAACTACACTCCGGGGTTGCCTGTTCAATTCCTGTCAGGGTGCATGCCCAGGCTGTAGGCTCATCCCCAGTAGAGGACATGCAGGAGGCAGCAGGTCAATGTTTCTCCCTCACTTTGATCACATTGCTGTTTCTCTCTCCCTCTCCCTTCCTCTCTCTCTAAAAATCAATAAAAACATTTTTATTTAAAAAAAAAAAGATGCAGTCACTTTAGAAACAGTCTGGCAGTTTCACAAAATGTTAAAACATAAGAGTTGTAAGAGAGTTGTCATGGTACCCAGCCATTTCATACCTAAGCATAAGCCCAAGAGAAAGGAAATCACATATCCATACAAAACTTGTACATGAATGTTCATGGTGACATTGTAAGAGCCACATGGTGGAAACAACTCAAATATCCATCAACCGAAGAATGGATAAATAACATTTAGGATATCCATACAATGTAATATGTAATTTACATATTACATATTACTGTAATGCTACAGTATTACGTATTTACATATTACAATTTACTGTAATACTAATACATATTACAGTATGGATGAACCTTTAAAACACAATAAGAGAAAGAAGCCAGCCACAGACGGTCACATCTTGTATGACTCCATTTATACCTAGAATAGGCAAATCAATAGAGACAGAAAGTAGATTCGTGATTTCTGAGGGTGGTGTGAGGGAGAGCTTAATAACTAACGTGTACAGGTTTCTTTTGGAGGTGATAAAATGTTCTAAAAGTAACTGACTGTATGTATCTGAATTTACTAAAAATCTTTGAATTGCAAACTTGGGGTGAATTGTATGGTATGTGAATTTTTAAAAAGGACAGAAGGGGGGACATGGGAGGCACCGATAGGCAGCTCTAAAACCCAGCCAGGTATATGTCTGTGGTTCCTTGTTTAGGGGCCAGTTTGTATGGCTTGTCTCTCCACCCTCTAGGCTCTGGGCTGTATTTTCTGACTCTTCTTACTTTTCCACAAGAAATGGTTCGTGTTTGCAGCCTCTTTGTATCTGCATAAGGCACTGATATTTTTTATTTTGAACTGTTTCTGTCTTTTCAGTCCAGGTTGATAATGCTTCCATGGATACGTTTCTCAAAGTCTTTGTGGGTTTCCCATGTATCTCTTTGGGGTTCACAGCATTAGAGAAAAACCATTTCCACAAATCTCTTTGAGACAGAACTCTCTCTCTCCCTTGGACTACCTTTAAGTCAATGTTGTGTGAAAATACCTTTAAGATTCTTAGAAGCTCTAGTGTCTGGTAGAGATAGTCCTTAAGATGCACCCTTAAAATTCTTTCAAGCCTGTTGGTCTACCTCTGATTTGCAAAGTGTGGTGCCTGTGCCACCAGCATTAGCATCACCTGGGAATTGAAATTGACTACAGAGGTCAGACCCATTTTAGATTTGCTGAATCAAACTGTGAGGATCCAGCCCAGCAATCTGGGTTTCAGCAAACCCCGGAGCTATGTCTGACACACACGAAGTTTTAGAACCACTGGTCTAAATGGAGAGAGTCTATGAGGAACCACTTAAAATCTTTATGAGTCTCAACAAAGGGCTGTGCAACCACATCCTTGAGGACACAGGATTTGATCTTTGCCCTGAGCTATTTCTTATTTTGTGTGTCATTTGCTAAGATACTGAAATGAGGAATCGTTTTATTTGGGGACCTATCAAGTTCAACTCCTTTATGTTTATTTCCTCTAAATTCTGCTTGGAAGGGAACCCAACGGTTTCTTTTTTGTTCATCCCACTACTCCTGTATTTTATCACAGGCAGCTAAGAAAAGCCAGTTGGTACTTTCAACATTTTTCCTGGAATTCTCCTTAGATCCATGAACTGGATAACTTTCAACCTTCCACATTACTGCACGCAGTGGGTGTGCTAATTATTCTGCTGTACATAATGTAGGTTCCCTTTCTTCAGCCACCAATAACATTTCTTCACTTTTTCAAATCTTTATTAACAGTCACCTCCATCTTCTGCTCACCACTGGGATCCAAAGCCAGTACATATTTTAGGTTTTTGTGACAGTGGAACCCCAATTCTGGTACCAAATTTTGTTTCAGTAATCTATTGCTGCATAACAAAACAAACCCAAAATTATTGGCTTAAGAAAACATTTATCTTGCTCACAATTTTGAGATTTGGCCAGGGTTTGATAAGGATGGCTCCTCTCTGGCCTGCGTGTTGTCAGCTGGGAGAGCTCGATTAGGACTGTAGGATTTATTTCCAAGATAGCTCACTTAGACAGCTGGCAAGTTGGTGCTTGCCGATGTCAGCTGGGATTTTAGCTGAAGTCGTCAGCTGGGACCTTGATTCTCCTTCATGTAGGCTGCTTGAACCTTCTCACAGCATGGCATCTGGATTCCAAAGTGGAGAAAGCAGAAGTTGCCAGGCCCCTTAAAGTGTTAGCCTAGAACTGGCGCAATGTCATTTTTGCCCTTTGCTGTTGGACAAACCGTCATAGACCCAGCACAGATTCTAGGAGGTGGAGAAGTAGACCTCACCTCTTGGGAGTAGTGACAGGATTTGTGGCTGTCATTCACCCTCTGTAATCTGTTAAGGTTTTTTTTCTTTGTGTTGTTGTGTGTGAGTGTTTTAAATACTGAAAAGGCACTCTTGGCTA